CAAGCTCGGGAACCTGACTGTCAGACCCTACATTTGGGGAAATGTAGGCAAGAGTATGTATTAGTACAAAATAATGTACCAAGTATAATAGCCATGCATAAAACATTTAAATCATGCTAAAAGAGACATTTCATTTTGTGACATGCAATAGACCAACCTAAATCATGATATAAGAAAGTTAGAAAGCATACTTCATAAAACATGGTTAATTCAAGCTAACATCATCTTTAAAGCCTTTGAACACATATGAGATACTCCTTGAGTAACATTAGTTCATTATTAATGTGGGGAATTAGCCTTAACCAACATAAAGACCATGTGAGCTATAAAATGATCCCCTGGTGTATCCCACACCGAAAAGGATTGTTCTACTTGCCAAAGTAAGGACCATAAACTTCAAGCTTAAGTGGATCCACTAGCTAATCAACCTATGGGGGCACATAGTTAAGGGATAAGGAGATTGCTACTAGAAACCCAGCCTCTACTAACGAGAGAGCTTCCATCTCAAGAGATTGCTTCTAGAAATCCGACCTCTACTAATGGGAGAGCTTCCATCTAAACATCAATATCCACTTGGTGCTAAGCATAAATCCCACAAAATAGTATTTTCTTACTTATTCTCATTATCCATGGAAAGGCATGTCATCTTGCCAATCCAAGCTAAGTTCATTAGGATAGCTCTTACTCTTTGATTCAATTAGGTGAGAAAGTCTTTCAACCTAAGAATCCTTTCTCTGTGAGAGAACCTTTCACATCATGCTAGTATGTGTTTATGAGAATGTCCTTTCAACAACACAACAACAACATCATCATTGGTACTTTACTCTCAACGCACCCTTAAAATATTTGCATAGATTTCATAAGAAAATGCATAAGTCCATAATTTACCTCTTGAGGTTCAAAACCACTTTCAATCATCAATTCTTAGAAAACATGGACTAGATATGAATTTCATCATAAATTCATGTAAAACTAGTAATACATGCTTAGTTTCATAAAACTCTTCCTCTAAGATAAAAATCTCGCATCATATGATTTATAACTTGAAAATATAGGGATTACATGGGTTCATAAGGGAAAATATCATAAAACCATAGTGTTTCATCAATTCATGCATAGAAGATCATAATTCAATCATTTAAATCAATAATGAAAAGAATCCATGACAATTGAAGAAAACACTAACTCAATTCGGGAATTCTACCTTTTGAAATAGATGAATTTGGGAACTCCATGGATACAAGGAATCCATGGATGAAAACTATCATACCTTAGCCTTCAATGGAGAAATTGAGACCTTAGCTTGAAACCCTAGGTGAATCCTTCTTCTTCTTCTCCAAGTTTTAGAGAGAGAATTATTTGAGAGGAGATTTGGTTTTCTTTTATGAATTTGGAAGAATGAAGTGAATGGGTTAATTTGGAGGTTGAAAATACTTATATAGGGGGTCTTAGTGAAGGACAAAACGACGTAGTATAGGAACTAATTAATTAGGAAAACAACCAACTACCCCTGAACTTAACTGCCAGCTGTGACCCACGAGACCCCACTAACAGACCGTGGTCAGGACGACAGACCATCCTGCACGGCCGTCGATGGAGGTCAGAAACTTCCACCTAAGGGTCTTGGACCACGAGCCTCAACCACGGACCGTGGTTCAACCAACGGTCTGTTGGTCTAGCCGTGGTTCTAACCCTTTTCTAGGTAGTGCCAATGTGTCAACTACGGACCACACCTACGGTCCGTGGTCCCATCCACGGGCTGTGGGTGGTCAGCATGGGTTGACACCTGCAACTTCTGGAAATGGGTAGATTTCCCTTTTCGGATACGGGGTATTACAACAATCTACATTAATAATGATTTATATACCGAGCAAAGCTATAGTTCAATGTGAGTATACTTGAATTCCTTTGTGTGAGTGAAATTGCATGATATATAATCTCGTGATATTATATTCATAATTGTAAGTGAGATTATTATCTCTTGTGTGAGTGGTTCATTCTTCAAGTGAATGTTGAGGTCTTTATTTCAGTTGAGCTACATGAATGCAATAAATTCATGTAAATTCTTAGGAAAACCTAGAAGGTTGATGTCATAGGCTTGAGATACTTTTAAGTTGTACTTGAATGAAATATTGTCCCAAATTTGTGTTTGAAAAGTTGTTGAAAACGAGAATGATTTTGAAAGAAGAAAGCCTTTGCCTTTTCTTGATGGTGGGATCAATTGTAAGTTATGTTTGTATATATAGTGTTTTATTTTGAGTCTTCTATTTTTAATGTTTTTGTGTCTTAGTGTATAATTATGCATATCATATCGCGTGTATGGCTGAGTGTCAATGAGTACAAATATAGTTCAAGTTTGGAAGTTTGATGAGTTGTTATTTTACCAACTTATTAAACTTTATTCATGAATTATTTCTATGTTTTAATGCTATGGAGGAGATTTTAGGCCCTAGTTCTCTCATATGCATACATTTCTGACAAAATGAAAATTGAATGATTTGGAACGAAAATTCACTGAACACACCGACAAGGAATCGACTCCAGGAGGAGAAGATCGACGTTCTGTTGACTGGAAAGGGAGAAACGGTCTTAAGCATTGACGTTGAACAATTAGGCATGACATTCCACCAATCCAAACATAGGTTCAACTATGAGGAGATGCACTGAAGCGGCGTTGCAACCAATGGTGGACGTTGTGTATTGGCGTTCCACCAATGCAGCGAAAGTGAAATACAAAAGTTCGGAGGCAAACTCGAATTTCATGGTGAAAGTGTTTCCTTTTGGAAGGTTCTAAGGAAAGAATGATAATATGCGTAATTATGTACTCTTATCATCTATTTTATTGTAGTAGAAAATAGACATTATAGAAGTTCCTACTTGCCCAAGAAGATAACTCAAATTTGTACATCTTCAAGCTTGGATTTGACTTTGGTTACTGATTATGCGTGAAATTGAGTTTTTCTTTATGAGTATAATCTTTATTTCTCCATTTATGAGTAGCTAAACTTCTAGCTAGGGGTGTGTGTGCAAGATGTGGGTGTAAAACTTAATAAGTAGCGATTAAGGATGTGTTTGGTATGAAGGATTTCCAATTTTCTCATTTTTGATTGACTTAAATGTTTTCCAAATCAACTTATTTTCCTCAAATTTAAGAAAAATGTCTTCTCTTCAAAAATTAAGGAAAACATTTTCCAAAACTCTACTTCATCCTTCAATCTTTTTTTCTTACCTTATCTCGTACCCCGCACCCGACATTTCTCATCCCAAAAAAAAAAGGTATTTTTAAAAATTTTCTTATTTTTTAAATTTCAAATATTTTCCCCCTAAGCCCAAACCAGCCTCCCTCCCCAAACAAAAAAAAAAAGCATAAAAAGTTAAAAGTTATATTTTGAAAAATATTTCAAATTTTAAGATTTTTTTTTACCTCACCCAACACCTACCACTCTTACCTCCCCCCCTCCCCACAAAAAATATTGTTTTGGTTAAACATTTACGCAACCCCCCCCCCCCCCCCACTCCCTACCCAGGCTAACTTCCGTCAAAAAATAAAATTGTTTTTGAAAAATATTTCAAAAATTTAAAAGTTTTCATTTTTATGCCACCCCAACTCCTACCCCCTGGCCGCACCCCCCTCCCCTCTAAAAAAACATGAAAAAAATATTAATTTTTTTTTTCAAAATTTAATTTTTTTTGATTTTAACGCCACTCCTACCCCTACCCCAGCCATCCCCCAACTTTCACCCTCGTCAGAAAAAAATTAATTTTTTTTTTGAAAAATAATTCAAATTTTTAAAATTTTATTTTTTACGCCACTAGGTCAAAAATTATTTTTCTAAAAAGTATTTTCTAGTCTCAAGCCAAAAATAAAAGATATTTTCTGAAAATATTTTTCATCCACCAACCAAACATTTTCAGCAAAATATTTCTACTCACTAACCAAACATGAAAAAATAAGTTAAAAATCCACTTGTTTTCTAGGAAAACACTTTCTATGGAAAACATTTTCCTTCATACCAAACACACCCTAAATAGTTCTACACTCAATTGTTATGCATAGATTTGTTGTTGTCTTGAAGTTTTAATTAAAAATCAATGGTTGCAAACAATGATTAAACTCTCTAACACTATTTTGACTTGAGAAAGCAAAATATAGTTGGGTAAGACTTCATTAGTGAAGACTTGAGAAATTTGTCATGAGATAGTCTAATTTGATTTTATTTCTTATTGAAGGGTAGAGCTAGAGACCAAATGCTATCTATGTATTGACTGATTTGGAATTGACTAATCATTGCCTATTTTGTTGAAACCTCATTATAATGCATACACCCCTAGTTGTCTCAATCTTGTTGAAACTAGTTCGTGTTGACTTCATGCAATTGATACTTGAAATCAAAGTAATTTAGTGTTTCCAAATTCCCCCCAATTTTATATACTTGTCTGAGATAACATGGTATTAGTTAAATTTGAATTGACAAATCAGTTGAAGCATAATCCTCTTTGTTAGTCCTTGTGGTTCAACCCCGACCTCGAATGTTGGATATTGTTTTTGCATATGGCCACCTATGCCTTATATGCGAGGTATAGTTGAGCATTATCAATACTACTTACTCATTAGAGTAGTTTTTAGTAACACAAGTCTTTTGCAACCAATTCTAAGAAGCAACAACACTTTTGCCAAAAATTTGCCAACACTAACTATGGGTTAAATACTTTGAAAAAAAAAACTGGATATAACTTAAATAGCAGGGTGAAAAGTAGCTACTGAGTCCAATTCCTAGGTCACTTTTCAAAGATCATGTACATTTCAATAGGTTGTAACATCTTTCCTGATGATAAAGCAGAGGCAGACATTCTTCTGTAGCGTCGTCTATCCACAAACTCATATTTGGCTATCCTAACTCCAAAGTAGAATTCGGGTTTAGGTTAAAACCTAAGAATTCCCTCAACTCATATTTTTGCTATAAATTCAAGGTTCGATTCTCCAGTGTGGACACAGCCTATATACCAAAGGAGATAAATTCTCACCCCCTTCAAATTATATTCTAGCTGTCACTGTGAAAATTAGTGGTACATAATAGCCAACAGCTCTCAAAAAGGTGGTTCATCCAAAGAAAAGAATTTGCGTATAGGAGAAAACAGCAACAGCTTCAGTTTTATCACATATAGTTTATAAGGAATCCAAATGTTAGATCCACACCATAGCTGGTGATCAATAAAGCACTTGGGCAACAGTTAGACTCTAAGAGAGTAATAATGAGATGATGTAAGCCCCATCACAAGAAAAGTTTCATCTGCTTCTTCACTAGAAAAGTTTTCTATATTCATCTGCCTCGTCAGCCATCTCCTCAATGCTTCTGTCTTTCCTTTCCTTGTCCAAATCAAGTGACTGCTTCATCTCTTTCTCCTTCACGTCCAACTGTATGAACAATGCGAAGGATTAATATAATTTATGTTTCAAATCCACCCAACTAAGTATGACCAATCAGTAGCAGATATTTGAATCTTACAGCATCATAAATCTCATCATTCTTTTCAAAATCGCCACTTTTCCGTGGGATGATGTGAATATGAACATGAGGAACTGTCTGTCCTGCCTGGGGTCCATCCTGAGATATTAACAGAAACAAATAACTTAGCACCAGCTTTCCAAGCAGAGGATAGGCCAAAAAACAAAATACATATTAGAAACTGCAAGGAGTATGCACAATTCCAACACAGTTAAAATCCACCTATCCATTTTATATCAAAATTGATGCGGAGAAAACTGTATATATGTCAAATTCTGCATTTACATGTCTTTTAGAAAATTTCAGCATATCAGAATCTCTAGTATTTTTTGAGAACGTACAACATTATGGTTAAAGATAACAACAAAGCCTACTTACTTGGATTGTAAATGTAAGAGAAGATGCCTTGTGGTATGACTCAAGTTGTTTGCCAACTTTTTGTGCTGTAATCCACAAGTCGCTAGTCTCATCAGTAGTAAGCTCAGCAAAGCGTTGTACTTCACGCCTTGGGCAGACAAGCACATGTACATTTCGTTAAGTATACCAAAGTAACCATAGCAAAGTTTTTAAGATTGGAGATAACTGAGGCTCTAAGCATATTAGCAAAATGTTTAGAAGAATGCCACCTCATACTGCAGGTCAGAGGAAAAGAAAAAAAAAAATGCGAGCGTTTTAAGAAAGTAATACGATGTAGAGTATTATGTGTGCAAAAGCCAATAAAGCACAAAACAGAACCTATTACAGTGGTGGGAGAAAATTAAAGTTACAGATATTTCAAAAGATAGGAACAAGCATCATTTCCAATAGACAACAATTTGTTCTTAACTGTCTATCATAATTCAAGAAATATGAACTCATAATGATGGTCTTTGAAAAGTTTATTAACTGTATTTGGAGGATGAGTCTATGAGAGCAATCATATAAGCTACAGTAGTCCCTTAGGGGAACATTGGTAAAATTGGAATGATAGACAGAAGTCATACAGGGTACATCAAATAACACTATTTTTATCTGGTTGCGAACTTTCATGCTCCAGTTAAGGGAGCCAACTCCTACGTATTGCAGAGTTTTAACATAAATTAGTATATTATCAGACAAGACAAAACATATCCTTAGAATTTCCAAAGCAAGTTTAATTCATATATGTCCAGAGGGTATCACAGCTAGCTTTTTGGATGTCTTTTCTGCATCTACTGAGGAAAGTAGCACAACTAGAAGAGAATAGCGGTAAAGGAGTGAACCAAGGGTAAATACAACTGCCAACAAATTTTGATCAAAGATGGGAGTCAAAGAGAGAAAGATGTTATTTCAATCAATTGCTCAACACAAATCACGAGGAGAAATTACATATTTTGATACATTCATGATAGAAATCTTTAAGTTAGGTCTGCAAAAGTGAAGGATACCATGAATAATATGAGAGATAGAAAAGTATTTTCCTCATGGTATCCAGTAGAGTAGTATGGAAAACGAGGCTATTTAATGTTAATACTAACATCTGGGAAGAGTCAAACAAGTGAAAAAAGTACTTTGTTTCGAATATATACAAACAAAAGTGAGATTCGAAGTCTTGCAAACTAACATGGTATTATGTGTATGATTCAGATCATGAAGCTTTGGAAAAGAGTGATAGATCATAGATTTAGGGAAACTACAAAGATGATGGACAACCAATTTGCATGGTAGATTTATAACAATGTTCCTAGTTTTGCTAAAAAGATTGAACGACATTTATAGAGATAGGATAAAGGATCTCCATAAGATATTAATTAAACTAGAGATGGAGAAAGCATCTAATACAAGTGTGAAGAAAAGACCTTTAGTTGGTACTTGAGAAGAAAGTAATTCATATCAAATACACACATCTTAAAAAGGATATATGAAAGAGTGTTCAAAAGTGATGGAACAGAGAGAGAAGGAGATACGGAGGAGATATAAAGGAGTTTCCATTAAGGGTGGATTTATACAAAGGATCTACACTAAGCACGTTCTTGTTTACCTAGTTATGAGAGCTAATCAATATTCAATAGCATGTAGGATGAGGTTACATGGTGCATGCTCTTTACAAATGATTTAGTATTGATCGACGAAACTAGAGTTGACCAAAAGTTGGAGATATGGAGAAGTATTCTAGAAAGTAAGAGTTCCAGAATAAGTAGAACGAAGACAACATCTAAGCACTGTAAGCATCTTCATAAAGAATATGTAGGTGAAGTAAAAAAAAATTCATTACAATTTGAAGAGATTAGACAGGATTATAGTGTCTAAGTGAAGACAATTCAAATATTTAGGCTAATCTTTTAGGAGAATAGCTAGATAGATTAAATGTAAAGGCAGCCCGGCGCACTAATTCTCTGGCTATGTGCGGGGTCGGGAGTAGGCCGAACCACAAGGGTCTATTGTATGCAGCCTTAACCTGGATTTCTGCAAGAAGTTGTTTCCACGGCTTAAACCTGTGACCTCTTGGTCACATGGCAACAACTTTACCAGTTACTCCAAGGCTTCCCTTCCCAGATAAATTAAATGTAATACATGACGTTAAAAAACGATGGTTGAAAGAGAGGAGTGATAAGGAATCACTTAAGAGATAATAAACACAATAAGATGAAAGCAACTACTATAGAATGGTTGTAAAAGTAGCAATTCTGCATGAGAGAGAATTTTGGGCCCTAAAGCTCAACACATCCACAAGACATGAATATTCAGATGGACAAGATTAGAAATGACCATATAAGAAAGGGAGTGTAAATAGTTTAGCTATGATCTTCTTCTTCACAGACCTTATATGCATCAGCATTGGTCTATATGTACAGAACTGAAAATGTTTTAGAACAGACGGGGTAGACCTCAAAACACATAGAAGAAAACCGTCTAAGAAAATCTAAACCTCTAGGAAACAATGCAGGTTTAATACCTAAGAACATAACTGAACAGAAGAAAAATATGCTTGATTGTTCTTGTTACATTTACGTAGGGATTGGTTTTTTCATAGGTCATTATATAATGGTTGTGACTTGTATCCATGCAACGATAAGTGTGGGACTTAAAAAATATTAACTTTTTTATTTTAAGAAAAGAAGACCTCTAATTTGAAAACAAAAAACAAAAAAAACCTTGAATTACCTAAAAAAAAGAAATAATATAAGTACTTAGTACAGAATAAAATAGACCTAAACAGAACGGACTGGATGATACGGGTTCAATTGAGCATAGTTGCTATACTAGCTGACCGATTGAGAGTGAGTCACCATTTAAAAGAGTGCTGAACTTTCTAAACTGATCACAGAGGCATGTTTTATTTGCACATATACACCCAAATACATATGTGTCTTTGTTGTGGATGCGAGGAAGTTAATTAATTAAGTATTTGTTTATATTTTTTAAGTAGATTTATTTATTATTTATTTATAATTTAAGTAGTTTTATTTATTATTATTAGAATAGGGTTTTATGTTTCATAGCTTCATAAGGATTAGGTTAATAAACCACAGTCCAAAGAAATTTGGAATTCTGTCTTGGAGAAATGTGAGAAGAAGTTGGTCAGATGGAAAACACAATATTTATCAAAGTGGGGCAGACTCACTTTGATAAATGCAGTCTTGGATGCCCTTCCTACGTACATGCTAACTTTGTTCCCAATACCTGCAGGAGTAGTACAGAGATTGGATAAACTAAGAAGGGTTTTTTCTGGCAAGTAAACAAGGAAAAAAAGGAATACCATCTGGTAAAATGGAAAGTTCTGATCACGGGAAAAAAACAAGGAGGATTAGGCATCAAAAATTTGAAGAACCAAAGCAAGGCTCTAAAGCTGAAATGGTTGTGGAGATATGCTCATGAACCACACTCAATGTGGAGCAAGGTGATTAAATTGAAGTACGGAGAGATGGATTCATGGGTCACCAAGGAAGCAACCAATCCCTATGGTGTTACTGTTTGGAGATCAATTAGAAACTGGTGGCCTTTCCTAAGGAATCATACTACTATAACAGTACACAATGGTATCAAGACACGATTCTGGAAAGATAGATGGCATGGTAATCAAAATTTGTCAGAGATCTTCCCTGACATCTTTGACTTAGCACTACATAAAGACAAAACAGTGGCTGAAATGTGGTCTCCCCAAGGTTGGGATCTATCTCTCCGAAGGAATTTAAATGACTGGGAAGTTTGTAGATTAGTTGAGTTCTTTAAAAGATTGGAATCATTTCAAGGTTTGAAGGAAGGGGAGGACTGCCTACGGTGGACAGAGCACAACAGAGGAAGATACAAAGTGAGCTCAGGTTACAAGGTCATAAACAGGGCTCCTCTAACCCTCAATTGGCTACAGAGACAAATCTGGAAAGCCAAAATTCCACTCAAGGTGGCATGCTTCACTTGGCTGCTAGCAAAGGAGGCAGTACTAACACATGGGAATCTGAGAAAATGAAACAACATTTTGGTGACACATTGTTGTTTATGTGGGGAAGCAGCTGAGACAGTTAGGCATTTGTTCTTACATTGCAAAACCACTGATCAACTATGGAAGATTTTCATCAATCTCAGATGCATTCAATGGACAATGCCTAGCAAGATTGTTGACACTATCTCAAGTTGGGAAATTGAGGCAAAGAATAGAAGTTATTGGAGGACCATTCCAGCATGCATCTGGTGGACCATTTGGGGAGAAAGGAATGCTAGAAGCTTTGAGGATAGAAGCAGATCCCTACAAATGATCAGAACATATTGTATTCTGTTATTATGTTTTTGGTGTACAACGAGTTCCCCCGTAGATGTAGAAGCAATCCTAGAAGTATTAGAATCATGCTAGGCTTGCTGTTTTTGTTCCTAGATTTTCATACTTTTTTGTAAAGGGGCTTTCAGTACTACATAAGTACATGTTTATAATATAAATCGTTACCTTCTCCAAAAAAAAAGGATTAGGTTAAGTTATAGTTATTAGTTTGAAATAGGATTTAGGTCTCCTACTTTCAGAAAAATTTAGACTTCCTATTGATGTAATAAGACTCCTATTTAAAGGGGCTTTTGATGATAAACCGGTAAGTCATTTTTCAGCAAAAAGCAAAAGATTAGAGTTCTCTCTTCCATTGTACTCCAAGGTTTCACTCTCCCTTTAAAGAGCTGAAGAGATCGGAGTTCTCTCTTTTAATGAACTCTAAGGTTTCAACCTCCCTTTAACGAGTTAATTATATATCGCCATATGAATCGATCATTCCCTAAAGATTCATAACAATTTGGTATCAGAGTCTTAACACAATGGGCGATGAGATCACTTCCAGATTTCAAGAAGAACGTGTCATTACAGAAACCCTAATAGACTCTAAAATTGCAGCAGTGGAACAACGCCTCAGTGAAAAAATTATCCAAGTCATCCAAGAACAATTGTTTAGATTGGGAGTTGGCTCCAGCAACCCATAGACCTGAGTCATATAGCGCCCACATACCTGAGTCATATAGCGCCCACAGAACTGGTAGATCAACAATTCCTGCTACTAAAGGCAATACACCACCTATTCAACTAGCCGATAAGAATCATC